AGCACTTGAATATTTAGGCGGACTCTGATGAATGTCGTCCATCCTTTGACGTAGTGTGTGGACATAATCTTCTCCGGCGACATTTTCTCCTGGTCGGCAACCAAATTTCAGATCACAGGGTAGGCGCACTCCCCGTCCCATAACGATGCTGGCTGGAGTTTGCCCTGTAGATTCTTGGACGGATGAACGGTAGCCAACAGGAACAGGTGAAGAAAATTGTCCCAGTCTCTTTGGTGGCCAGAGACTACTTTGGCCAGATAACGGCTGATAGTTCTGTTCATGCGTTCAACCATCCCATCTGATTGTGGATGCAGAGCAATCGTCCTGGTCTTGAGGATGTTCAGGACTTCACATACGCCTTGGAACAGATTGGACTCAAAGTTTCTTCCCTGATCTGAATGAAGCTCCATGGGAACACCAAACCTGCAGATTCATTCTTTAACAAGGGCATCAGCAATCGTGAACGCTTCTTGATTTGGCAACGCGTAGGCTTCGACCCATTTGCTGAAGTAATCCATTACTAACACAATGTATTTGTTGCCATCGTTCGTCTCCGGGAAAGGACCAGCCACGTCGATCGCTATTCGTTCGAAGGGACCACCAACATTGTACTGGCGCATAGGGGCTTTACCACGCCTTTGTGGCCCATTAATGGCTGCGCAAATGTCACATTTCTTACACCTGGCCCTCACATCTTCTTTGCAGTTCACCCAGTAGAACCGTTCACGCAGCTTGCTCAAGTGCGTCTTGGTAACACCAAGATGTCCACCGCTGGTTCCATGGTGAACTTCCGCCAAGACCTCCGGGACCCTCTTCTTTGGAATGATGATCTGCCTTCTCTCTTCTTGTCCCTCTGGTCTCTCAATCACACGGCGAAGTAATCCGTTATCTATTACCAATGAATTCCACTGGGACCAGTACGACTTCACGTTCGACGAATATCTGCAAACTTCCTCCCACGTTGGTCTCTGGTCCGCGTTTTTCCAGTTAATCACCAAGCCCAACTCTGGATCACTGATTTGGTCATTTGCAAGATCTTCGGTTTGCCAACTATCACCAACCACAGTCGTCCTTAAGACTTTCACTTCTTTCTCTCCTTTGCAACGATTTCCCATCTGTCCACAATTCCAACAGCGAATCGGTCCCCCCTTCTTGCTCATATACTGATCCAGTACTTTCCGCACAACCCTTTCCACTTTGGAATCGTCGAAACTCTCCTCAACAGCCCTTACAAATCCTAGAGACCTAGAACATTCTTTCGCGGCCTCAAATTGCAGGGCACGTGCTAGGGCATCTCCCAAATGCGTTGGATGAGCTAAAAGAAGTGTTTGCCTTTTCTCGTTGTCACGTAAACCATCAATAAAAGCCTGTACTGTTAAACGCTCCATAACATTTTCGGGCATAGCATGGTACGCAAGGCGAACGAGGCGGGCTACGTCGGCTTCAAACTCCTGCAGACTCATTTGACTTTTGAATGCGATTTCTTAGCTGGGAATGATAGACATGTTCCAAATGAGCTTAGCCGTACCTCATTTCTAATTGTCGTACCAATTGCTGATAATTTCCCTGTTCCGATGGTGACAATGTCTGCAGAATATCAGTCGCATCTCCACGCAGTGCGACAGTCAAAGCGGCAGCCTTTTCAGCGATTGTCCATCTGTTCGCTCTCGCAGCGGCCTCAAACTGGCAAAAAATAATTGGCCCAAGCGGTTTTTCCGTCAAACTGTGGAGGCTTAATAACCGACTTTGAGATATACTTATTTTCGACTAGTTTCGGCACCTCCGATGTTTCTTGACATTTTAGTGAATTTGACTTCGCTATTTCTTCTCTTAAAATTTCGATTTTTCTATTTACATCTCCTCAATCTCTGTTATTTTGTCTTGTGTATCTGTTATCTTCTCTTCTAATTCCCTGGAATTTTCTGTTATCTTTTCTTCTAAATTAAGTATTTTATTATTAAAGCTGGCCTGTATGTCTTTAGAATTTTCTGCGATCTTATCTTCTAAAATATTAATTAAATCCTGGGAATTTTTCATCATTTTATCTTCTAAAATATTCATTTTATCATTTAAAGTTTCTTGCAAATCCTGAGAATTTTCCATAATTTTATTATTCAAACTATTCAAATTGTCTTGCAAATTTTTTAATGACGAGTCAAGGTCACCTTCCAGCTCGAAGTAAAATGTGTCAGGATCCTAACCTTCCTCAATCAAAACATCTCTCAGTCTGGCTTGCAGAATGCTTTTCTTTCTATCTGTTTCGCACTCTCTCTTCCAATATGCATTTCACTTCGGACACTTTCAAATCTTTCAACAATTTTTTAGAGCCATGGTCAGTCTTTTTATTTTTCTTTGTCTATCACACACGCCACACCTGACACCAATTGTTACGTTTTCGTCGGTTCCGTGTGTGGATAGAAAGTCACAATTTATTTAAACACTATTTATTTAACACTAATGAACAAAATAATAACGATAAAAGACTTATAGAACTATTTACAAACGATTTATACCTAACTAAGAATTTATTTTGAATTTTAGCGATTCAACTGCACTGGTCGATTTATAACTGCCCTATCTAGGCCACTGCCGCCGGCTTTATACCGACAGGTAAAAGAAAACTAGAATAGTCCAAAGATCGTTAGGCGCATAGCTAGTTTTTCGAACGTTCTCGTATGTACTAGTCCATTCTAGTGGGTCTCGATTCTTCTCGAACGAATGAATCATTGCGGTGTCTATGCGATGTTAAGGTCATCCGAGGGCGGGCCATATTGTGAGGTTAGGTCGAGTCCACACCGGCTCGCAACAATACCTTTGACAGATCTATCCTCCAACAGACTCTAAATATCAAATATAAATACCATAAAGAATATCCTAGATGATAAAGTGTCATGTCACATACACCATCAATAATTTTTAGACGTTTTATTTTCTGTCGATTTACTCGAAACTTAAAAAAAAGCTACATGACACCTTTATCGACTCATGGCTTCAATTATGATCCTCTTTATTTATTTTTATTTCACTCTCTGACGGTTCAGGTAACCTTAAATTTAAATTAACATGTCCAACATGTTGTAACATGTCCTACATTTAAAGCATTTTTTCCTCCAATAGGGAAACATGCAGGTATCGCACTAAATATCTCTGAAAATCCTGTACATATGTGTATACCATATGATCGAAAAAAAAGGCGTCCAGTTGGCTGGGAAATGAACATCGATATTTTCCATATTTTACATATAAATGACAGCGATCTTCATTTCACAGCCATCGCTGACGAAGTTTTTTTTCGATCATATTGTATTTTGCAGCCATTTTGTAAAAAAATTAAAAATATAAGGCTTGAATTCAAAACAATGCTTGGTATTTACTACAGGTGGTCTGTACTAGTAGTGGGAACTATCGAATGAATACTATCGAAACATTCGATAGTTGCAATTCATTCGAATAATTCGATAGTTAGTAAGAAAACATTCGTTGAAAACTATTCGAATAAAAATTATCGAATAGATCCGTCATCTGCCTTGAAATACATTGTATTCTAGTAATTCGGCAGCAAAAACCATTCATTTATAAAATTCATCTATTTAAATTATTCATTTATAAAATTCATTCATTTATAAAATTCATTCATTTATGAAATTCATTTATTCGTTGTGATCGATAATAAAATATTAACTGAATTTTAGTTGTCGCCCGGCGACGTAGGTTTTTTTCTGAGAAAGCGGTCGGTGGCAATGCTATGAAAGAAGCCGGCATCTTTGATTTTTGCGGAGTCATATATAGATAATGACACATTATTTTTTTTATTGAGGTGCTAGTATTTACACAGAAAATGCATTATGAAGGGCGCTGTTGCCATATTTTTGTACTAGTTGATATTAGCAAAGAATATTATTGTTTGGCTTTAGTTAGTTAGGGATAGTATATATTCTGCAAGCAATACGTAACTGAACGAAGTACTGA